AGAGAGAGAGAGAGAGAGAGAGAGAGAGAGAGAGAGAGAGAGAGAGATTCTTGACCAGTCTGCCGGAACAGACAGTGCCACTAGATAACTTTAGGACTCTCCAAGCAGAGGCGCTTTGGAAAGGTCATGAAGCTTTGAATTTCTTCTAATCCAAAGAAATCATGTTCGGAGAAGCAGATGCTGCACAATTATTACATGACAAATGCATGAGGTCCTGACATGTGTCAAGCTTGTTGGCCACTTCAATAGAAAATATTTTTGTAAGCAAATAGGCCATTCTGTCATATGATGGGAGTGAGCATACCTCCTCCCTCAGTGAATGGCAGCTTTAGCAAAGGAAAACAAGTTGTTGCATGTTGTTGGAGGTGGGAGGGGAAGAGAGTGAACAGAGGTTTGTTTTCTTGCTCTGCTCACTTGGGGAGTCGGGTGTGTTGGAACATAGACGGAGATACCTCCCAAAATAGTTTCTGCTTTAACAGATTAATCCAAATTGCTCTCTACTACCAAAGTTATGCAAAGTTGTGCACGTATGTACTGGATACTCTCGGGACACTAGTTTTCTGTTGAATGTACCCTTGTTCTGGCAAAGTAGGCAGTAGCAGGCTACACAGAAGCAGTGAGTTGGGGAGCAATGGGTTGTAGCTTCTCAGCAAAGCATTGCTTTCCAGCCCAAAGTTCCTCCTGGCTGCAGACCTTGAATACACTGTTAGCATGCATTTCTGTTCAAGGCTTTCTCTGCATTCATGAGTGGAGGGCAAACTGGCCCTTTTTCAAGGCCATGTGGATTCCTGGCATCTCCGTGTGTTATATGCTTGCCTGAGTTACTGAGGCCTATACATCAGGTGCTTGTCTTTGGGGTGATGGTTGTAGGTGCTTACAGCCTTCTTCCAATCTGGTGCCCTCCAGATGTTTTGGATGTTAATTCCTCTCAGTCAGAATGGCCTCTGGTCAAGCACAATGCAAGTTTTAATCCAAACTATCATGTGGGCCCCAGATTAGGGAAGGCTGAGCTCATTTGTGGCCCAGTCACAATCTTGCTCTGATGTAAACTTGCAGTAGTGCTGTGCTTTGCAATAACACCAAACAGAAAGCACACTTGTTAGGTTGCATGTCAGCAGGAGGTAACTTCATCTTGCAAAACCACAAGCCACAAAAGACAGGAACTGTGGGAAGTCTCGTTATGACTTCTTGATGTCTCTCTGTTTACCATCCACTGCCTGCTGAGGAATCCAAGCAAAGCAGATGACTGATTTAGTTTCCTTTTACAGAAACTGCTGCTTTGCTTGCTTTTGCATGAGGAGGATGAGGCAAACACTCTTCTTGTCAAGGGGATGCTTGCTTGGTGGTTCCCAGCTGTAAAGAAGCATAGGACTGTCTGGAACCTGGGCACTTTTCAACTGGGAGGCTACTATAAGGCTTTAGCCAATGTCTTCATGGTTGGGAGGTGTTTTTCTATGGTGCTTTTTTAATTCAACATGTGTGAGAACAATTACATTCTGTGAGGAATGGCAGGACCATGTTAATACTGTGGAGCAGAAGAGAGATGTGATTTATGTAGTACTCTTTAGAAATGTGATTTATATACCACCTTTTACATTCAAGCTGAACCTTAAGTGATTTCTAATACAATAAACATGAAACAAGAACAATTTTATCTAGTAATATTTACAGAACTCTAATAATTATAACTGTTCTTAAGATCAAACTTGAAAACCATGTGGGCAGTTTCTTTATGTTTGGAAAAACTGGCTACAGGTCATCTTTCTCAGTGGGAAAAACACAGCATCAGATCCATGTCCTGTACTGTTAAGACCTTGTTTATATTCAGATTACCTTAATCCACAGTGACTCAGTAGTTACTTTAAAAATAAAGTCCAATCTTTTGTAAAACAAAGTCTGCAAAAAAGGAAATATGCCTCTTAAGAAAACAGAAGCATGTTATTTATTAGTTGAAGCAGAATTGAGAATGCTAGTCAGGCCTTTTGTGTACTCAGTGATTATACCACAGAAGTGTATAAACTGGCACTGGGTTCAAAATTCTGAGGATTCATCTTTTAAAATAACAGATTCTAGCTCTTAAGATTGTCAAGCAGGGATGAGCAGCTTGTGCCACTTGATGCTTTGCTCTCTGACTCCCATCAGCCCTTGCCAGCATAACCAGTGGTGCAGGATCATGGGAGTCATGGGCCAAAACATCTGGAGGGACCACAAAGCGCCCACCTCTGTTGTACAGAGAATGAGCAGCAAAGACACCTGTTTCAAGGGTTGTTGCTGATTTCAATATTCTGAATACTTTTCTCCCTTTGTGTGACTAGCCATTTGAAAATAAGTTATACAAAATAAAATTATATATTGAAACATACTACTTCTCCTTTTCTGTTAAACCAAAGTAGTTCAAACATTAAACCATAATGCAAAATGAGTAAATTCCAGTGACAGAATAACAGTGCAGAGACCAAATGTCATCCTGAAGACAATTTTTAGCAGTCTCTGGAAGGTCCCCAGAGATGCACATGCTTCATTTGGCAGGCAATTCAAAACTGGAAAGACGTTGCTCTGAACCCTTTTAGATTATGTTTCCTGTAACAGAAACATGAAACAGGATTGCTGTGGATTTTAACATGCATGGCTCCTTTTATCCATATTTTCACATACAATATACTCGTGGCAGAATCCAGTTTTTTTCAGGCAGTGAGGACACATTTCTCTAAGCACAGATTTAGTTTTACTGCAGAATTGTAGAAGGAAAGGGGAACAATTCATTTCTTCCTGGCCCAAGAAAAAAATGCTACTAGCATTTCTGTTCTGTTGACATTGTTTCTAGTGTTCACTGAAGAGCCCACTTGAGGCAGGGTTGGGGAACCATTCTCAGCCTAAGGGTTGAATACTTTTTTATGAGAAACTCTCAAGGTCTACAATCCACTACCGAGGGAAGCTGGCTTAGGAGAAGCATTTAAACCTTTTAGGCTGAGTGAAAACAGCTCACAGCACTGTGGTCTTAGGAGAGAGGAAGTAGAGCCAAGGGAACGTGCATGATCTCTTGGGGGTCACAGGAAGGCTGCATTTGGCCTCCAGGCCTGAGAGTTAGCCTCCTGGTTGAAGAGGGCTCTTGGATACAGTAGCTTGCATCCTCATGCTGCTCACCAAAATCCATGGGTTAGAGCAAACAGATACTACAGTTGCGTGAGTGCTTCTGCAGTGGTGGATCAATTCCAGAGTGGAGAATTTCTTTGTGGATGTCATGCAACTCTCAAAAGGTTCTTGACCTCACAGTTTCGACCTAGAACATTACTAACAGTCTTCTTGGTCAGCAGGGGCTTGACAGCTGTCAGTCATACAACAGGAGGAGCTTGGGTGTCAAAGGAGGCCTCTATCCTGAAGGCTCATGCTGTGAGGATAGTTGACATTTAGGCAATTTGGTCTGAGATGAAAGTCCTTAGTGCTTATAACAGCAAGAATCTCTCTTCTGTCCTAAAGGATTGTTACGAACCTCCCATTGTTAGCATTAGTATGTACAAAATAGCCCTTTATAAGTGACTTGTCTCCAATGTTGGTGCCCCTATCTCACATTTTTATACCAACTACTAGGAGGTGTTAAGGTATTTTAAGGGCAAGAAAGGGTTAGCTTGTGAAGATCTTAGTTTTAGAGGCAGAGACTACTTTAATTCCCCAAATATAAGCTTTCCCTATAAATAAGACACCCCATAAGTAGGACTGCCCAGTGAGGGAGCAGCTTTCCCACAGGTGGTGGCAGCAGCAAGGAGCAGAAGTCACTATAGTTTTTCAAGGTGAGGAAATACAGCATATAATGTATTTTCTGCCTGGGTTCATAGGTCCTCTTCATAATCTTTCTGGATTCTGAAGAATGCAAAGATAGGAATTGCAGCCTTGAGGTCTTTCAAAATGTTGATGGTATCCTAGATAGGCCAGAATGGTGCAGCTACTGGAGCAGGTTCTGCCTTACTGATCCTTGCTTTGCTTTCATATGCCTTTGTAGAATTTGAGGGCTGTAGAATTTAGTGGTGGCTAAAGAGATAAGAACTGGTTGCTGCCACTAGGCAAAATGATACCTCAGTAGTCTCCCTGTGTGGCCAGTGTTTGCTGTTGTTACCACATCATTTCCTGGTACTTTTGGATATCTAAATTCTCTAATATGAAATGACCCAATCTGGAAATTTGCAACTTAAGAAAATGCACTGTTACCTTAAAATACTAGAGGTTTATTGTTATTATTACATTACATTTCAATATTGCCCATAGCTGAAGCTCTCTGGGCAGTTCACAACATTTTAAATCATCCATCCAGATTTCAGCCAAACCCAAGCCTGCTTCGCTTCCATGATTAGACAAGACCAGGCACTTCAGGCTATACAGAAGCTACACATAACTGCATTCTGTTCATTGTAGAAGTTTTGACCTCCTGAAGAATGATGGTTTCCTGCTGTGTACGTTTGTGTACTGGAACATCCTACAATGGTCGAAAACACGTTCCAATGACCAGTGCAAACTGGGTTTTGCAAAGGGTGCTTTGCAAAATACGAGGCTGTGGCGGCTGTGATCTGTACATGCAGAGCATGGAGCAAGCTTGACCCGTTGACTGTTGCACATCAACAGGTGGGGCGTAAGCTGACACGCTGACTTGTGCTCAAGAGTGGGGAGTGGAGGGCAGCTCAATTACAAACGCTCATGGCAAATAGCATGAGCAGAGTGCCCTCAAAATAGCCATTGAGAAGCTATATAACAGGAGACGCTGCTGGAAATTATCAGTCCTCAGCAAGAGATCACTGCCCATGTGCACTGCGGTCTAAAGGAGTCTCAAGAAGAACAGAAAAGAACAGCAAGCATCCCTTTACCCTTTTAGTTGCAAGTACTTTGGAGAAAAGGATCCTTTGAGCCTCAAAGCACTCTTGTGTTTGTCACCTTGAAGTTGTATAGGTTGCTGCTTGTTTCTTTTCATTCCTCAAGACTGCGTCTCAGTCTCCGTGTCAATTGCTCTGCTTCCTCCCTCTACCACAATGAAGTATTACTACCCGAACACACTTCCCAGGTACAGGCGATATGCAAGAAGCCTCAAGACTGTGCGATTTCCCAATGATGTTCTCTTCCAGGACCACATTCGGCAGGGTGACCTGGAGCAGGTGGGGCGTTTCATCCGTGCCAGGAAGGTCACCTTGGACACCATCTACCCCTGTGGTAAGTAACATGGGTAGACCTAACTGAGGGGTGGCTGACTTGGGCTAAGCGTTAGCAGCTACCCCATCCAAGGGGCAGACTGTGAGAATGGTGCCAAATGCATGTATGCCCTGCTCTGCTGTGGACAACATATATTAAAAGGGCTACTGATGCATTGGAGGGTTGAAATCATATTCTAAAATAATTATTTTGTACATCCCTTATAAAGGGTTCTTAATGTAAATGATGAATAAACACAATCCTACCATCACAAGACACTAGATGATTAAAGGATCGCTGGGGTCCTGACCTTGGAAACACACTCCAAAGTTGGAGCTCAGGCTCTGACAGTGGAGCACCCCCCCCCCCCACCCTTTGCCTTCACAGCCTGGATCTTTGCACACCAGCTGCAGTTCTGAATTTGCAAGTGTGACTTTAGAGCCGAGCCTGGGGAGGGAAGGAGTGAGGTACTGCCAGGATACAGGGAATCCCAGGGGTCCCTCACCCCTCCACTTTAAAAGCAGGGACAAAATGCCCAAAATGTCTTGTGTGAGGAAGGAGAAGTGCCTCCATGTTCTTCCTGTCCTCAACTCATATGTCTGTAATCCTCCAAATGTGGAGGGTTCTGGGCAACCATGCTGGATGGCTCCCTAAATAAGTATGTTTAAAATGCCAAGATGAACACGTGAACGGAGTACCTACTGCACAGGAAGGTCTCTGGAGATGCATGCTCACCTCTGAAGCTGACTCACTGTCTCTTTGAGTCATTTCCTCCAGCTGCTCCTGAAAAATGTTAGTAAGAAATAGCTTGGTAACAGCAGGAAAATCAACTGTTACAGGTATTGTGTCCAAGTGAACTGTTAAGTGGATTTGGTTCTTGCTTGCGGGTGCTGATTAGGCCAGCTTCAGCATTTCAGAGGACTATGGAAGTCCTGTCTAGAATATTCCTGCTGTAAATGCTGGATGTAACTGCCTTTATGAACTGCTTACTTCCCAGAGAGGTTTTCAGAAACTTCAGTCCTAGTCTGTTAATTTGTTTAGGTAAAATAATAACTTTTGTTTGCCTGTGAATACAATTCTAAGCCAAAAGTGGTTCCCATTTAAGCTGACTCTTCAAACTCCCTCTCCCCCTCACCCGCAAAAAAGCCAGGTCTACCTTTGTGTGAAGCATGTTATTAAGTAGAGCAGATGGCTTCATTTCCAGAGCTCTCCAGTTTTAATTTGATATTTTTCCTCCCCTTGGATTTTCCAAACTGCATATTGATCTAAGAAACTACTATTGAGGAAGCAGTGCTGAAGAACGTGCCCCCCACCCATGCTCCTGGGTCCCCATTCCTAGGGCCATGGGCTGTAGCTGACATATAATCTTTTTCCATTAGGTATGGCCGCCCTCCATGAAGCGGTGCTTTCTGGGAACCTAGACTGTGTCAAGCTCTTGGTGAAATATGGCGCTGACATCAATCAGAAAGATGAGGATGGCTGGACGCCTCTGCACATGGCCTGCAGTGATGGTCATGCTGACATTGCAAGGTCAGAGATGCCGGACCATGTTTACCTCTTCTCCCCACCCCTTGCCCAGCTGTGTTACCCTCTTAGCAAGCACAGACTCCTGCCTGCACAGGCAGGGCAAATAGGGAGGGAAGAAGGGAGTGCTCAAAAATAAGTTCTAGGATGAGAGCGCAAGGGGCTGAAATAAGTGCCTGCTGGCTCAGAAAATGGGATCGATAACCCTGTATTCCAGACAGTGCTACTCCACAGACATCAGCAGTGACAGGGGTTTCTGCTTAAGCAGTGACTTGTTTCATGTTAAGTATTGCCCAAATATAAAATACCATGGAAGGTAAAGGTGAGAATGAAAGCCATCTTTGCGGAAGCCAGGTCGTCTCTCTTCATGGAGAGACGACCTAAGTCACTGTTTCTTAAAGTCCTCAGTAACCATCTTCTACACAAAAGCATGGGGCAAGTTAGTATGTATGAAATGTAATGTGCATAGGGGAAGAACCAGACGCCATTTCTTTAACACTGCAGCCACTGGAAAAGTTGTACCCGCTCACAGATATAGCTACCGATCCCATGTGTATACAGTCCAGTTCAAGGCAACTTTTTTCTTCATTTGGTTGCACTCACGTGAATGTTTGCAACTTGAAAAGTGTGAATTGGCCTTAAGTAGAACTTTGAGCACTGGTGTGACTGTAAGGGAGGTTCCTATTACTTAAGCTGAACCACAGATCTCTGCTGAATCTTGCAGGCTACTGGCAGGGACCATCAGAATGGTGTTTTTGGTTGGAATAGGCACCCCTCCATAATCTCTTTCTTTAAACCTGCAGGTACCTTATCTCTCTTGGGGCCCAACGTGATGCCACCAATGATGAAGGGGAGAAGCCATCTGACCTTATTGACCCTGAGTACAAGGAACTTGTAGAGCTTTTCAAAGCAGCCCGAGTGGACTAAGCTTCTGCCCCTCAGTTCTTTCCCATCTGAAGTCCAGTCTCCATTGCAAGCCAACACATTTGTTGCATGCAGGGAAGGAGGGTAGCAAAGTTGCCCCTACTAGGTTGGCAAGGAGTTGTATGGACTACTAAAGAGACCACAATTTGACTGCCTTGTGTTTGTATGAGACTGGCTGCTCCAGGGTTTCTCAGAGGTATGCTTGAGACAGCCCTTTCAAAAAGCAATGTAACCTTCTGTACTATGGCCCATTGTCCAGTACCCGCTGGAGTCAGGCTTTAGCTAAAATGGGAATAATGGCTCGGACATACTGATGGCACTGTTGTGCAAAGGTTCACAGAGGTGGCCATGAGATGAACTCGACTAGTACCAATTTGCTGCAAGCATACATCTTCCGGTTTGCATTTGGCAATGACCATGATTCTAAATAATGCTATCTCAGCAACATTCAAACCATTTTCCTGAACAGCCCTTACATAATTATCCTGATGAGAAAATAGTCCCAATTTCAAGTTGGCAACTGTACATATGGACTATTCCAACAGTGTTATGTACAAAGTCTTATTTTTAATGTTTGCTCATCCTAGATTTGCTTTTCTACTGTATTTTTTATGTGGTTCCAAAACAGCTTTTTATTTTTTCAATAAAGTAATTTCCAAACCCTTGGTTCATTTTTTTTTTTTTAATTTCTCTCTCACAAGGACAACTACACTTTCATACAACTACATCCATGGAATCATTCTGATTTTGTTCCTTAGAAATCCCTTGCTTCCTTCCAGAACCAATATCCACACAGAGAGAAGGACATTCAGAAAAGATTTAGAATCAGCAGGTATAGCGCCCTCCAAAAAGTCAAACAAAAAGCTGGGAACAGCTCACCCATAAAAAGCCCTCATTTACATTCATTCACACACAGCTGCCTAACACTGAATGGCAGGAAAGTATTGGCCGTGATGTTGACGCTGCTGCAATCCTACATTTCCTGTTCATTAGGGAATTACATTGTGAAATTATGCCACTTGCATATTTTTTAAGCAGCTGTAGCCGTAAGATATTACTTGAAGTATTTTTGGAAGGCAGAGAGGTGAAAAGGCAGTACAAGTTGTAGGGTTGCTACAAGACAGGTGTCAGACATCAGCTGTGGTCATTCAGAGTATTTCTGCTACTAATCATGTGAACTTTGGTACACTATGTGGTAGGAAAATAAAATAATTGGGCTTCCTGTGTTGGGGCTTTCTCTGTGGCTTCCTGTTTCTGGTGGGTTTCAGGCATGGCTGCTGCTGGTTCTATAGCAAATCACTTGATAGTGCCATAAGAGGACTATAATGTGGTCTGTGCTTTCCCCCCTCAGAATGATTTGTTTGCTTTCATAATGACTTGCAAATGAGTGAACTGGGGAACTAGGCAAGAGAAAATTAGATGTGGCATTTTTAGAAAAGAGTCAATGATTGGGTATTGGTCTATGTCGAAACGATACCTCTTAAGTACTAAAAAAAGAAGAAAAAGAAGCCTCCTTGATTTGGGCCATTTATCTCCTGGTGAAAATTAATACTGAGTTACGTGCCATTTGGGTCAGCATATTTTGATAGAACTAGGGCAGCTGGGCTCCTCTGGCAATTGCTGCCTCGGGCTTCCAGGAGACGGACTGAGGTGGGTGTTTCTGTAGTGCCCATTCAGGCACAGCCCCTGACACAGAGCTATATTCCAGGTTTGGCGTTATCTGTCATTGCACTGTATCATTGGACACTGTTCAACACCTTGAGAATCTCAGCTTTATTGGCCTTTTTATAGCACAGGGATAATCAATAATAGGCATGGATAACCTAATAAAATAAGATAATGTCAGGGGAGGTACTAAATAAGATTATGCAGGATGCAGGCAAGCAACATTACTGACATGACTTATTTATTTACTGACTATACACGGGAAGACTAAACATGAGTATTTGGTTATAGTCTAGCATGTCACTGCTCATCACAGAGTAGTTGTGTCAGGCTGTGTCAGCTGGCTAAATTCAGATGATTTTTCAAAGAATCCATTAAAATCTTACCTGAGAGATTGTTGATTCTGATGAATTGAAATTATTTATTTATTTAAGTTATTTGCATGCCGTCCTTTGCGAGAGCTTCAGGACAGCTTATACAAATAAAATACATATACATAAAAGTATAACATAAATAAATTAATGATCCACTCTGGCTGCAATTAAAATATGATAATAAAATTCAATATTAAAACTTGTTAAAATATTGATTAAATAAAAAGGTCTTAACCCGGCACCGAAAAACATATATTGATGGCGCCAGGTGGCCCTCTCTGGGGAGTGCATTCTTTAGATGGGGTGCCACTGCAGAGAAGGCCCTCCTCCGGGTACTCTGTCTCCTAATATCTTTCACAGAGGGTTCCCGGAGGAGGGCCTCTGCTGCCGATCTCAGGGGGCAGGAGGGCAAATACGGAAGAAGGTGTTCCTTTATGTATCCTGGTCTCAAGCCATTTAGGGCTTTATAGGTAATAACCAGTACCTTGAATTGAGCCCGGACTTCGATGGGAAGCCAATGGAACTGATAGAGGACTGGGGTTATATGAGAGTAACACCCAGTCCCTGACAGCATCCTGGCAGCTCTGTTTTGCACCATCTGAAGTATCCAGACTGTCTTCAAGGGCAGCCCCACGTAAAGCGTGTTACAGAAGTCCAACCAGGATGTAACCAATGCGTGTGTTACTGTTGCTAGGCAATCTTCCTCCAGGTAGGGACACAGCTGATGGATTAGCCGAAGCTGAAGGAAAGCGCTCCTCGCCACCGCTGTCACTTGAGCTTCCAAGGACAGCTCCGGGTCGAGGAGCACTCCCAAGCTGCAGACTCTGTCCTTTAGAGGGAGTGCAACCCCGTCCAAGGCAAGGCCAAAGTCACCTACCCAGGAGCTCAAATCACCCACCAACAGAACTTCTCTCCGTCTTATCTGGACTGAACTTGTTTATTGGCCCTCATCCAGCCCATTACCTCGGCCAGGCACCGGTTCAGTATAGCCACTGCCTCACCTGGGTTAGTTGAAAAAGAGAGGTAGAGCTGGGTGTCATCAGCATACTGATGACTCCGCAGCCCAAACCTCCTGATGACCTCTCCCAGCGGTTTGGTGTAAATATTAAATAGCAAGGGGGACAAAATGGAACCCTGTGGTACTCCATGGCCTAACTGCCATGGCACAGAGCCAAAGTCCCCCAGCACCACCTTCTGGAATCGGCTGTCAAGATAGGAGCAGAACCACTGCCAAGCAGTGCCTCCTACTCCCAGTCCCACCAGCTTATCCAGGAGGATACCATGGTCAATGGTATTGAAATGCACTGAGAGGTCCAGGAGAACCAACAGGGATGCACTCCCTCTGTCTCTCTCCCTGCACAGGTCATCATACAGGGCGACCAAGGCAGATTCAGTACCATACCCTGGTCTGAAGCCAGACTGAAATGGGTCCAGATAATCAGTTTCATCCAAGAGTGCTTGGAGTTGTCCTGCCACCACCCGTTCCAACACCTTGCCCGAAAACGGGATGTTGGCCACCGGTCTATAATTGGCGGCCATCTCTGGATCCAGAGACACCTTCTTTAGGACAGGCCTGATTACTGCCTCCTTTAAAGGAGTGGGCACCCGGCCGTCCCTCAGAGAGGCGTTAATAACCTGCAGGATCCAGGAACCAATCCCATGTTTGGCTTTGGTCAGCAACCACGAAGGGCAAGGGTCGAGTAAGCAGGTGGTAGGACGTACTTGTCCAAGCACCTTGTCCACATCATCAGGCCGCATTAACTGAAATTAATCCATTAATACCTGAGCAGACAGGGTCATTGGTGTCTCCCCTAAAGGATCTGAATCACTTGTAGAGTCCAGCTCGTGACGAATCTGAGTTATTTTCTCCTTGAAGTGCTGGGCAAAGTCGTCACAGCGGGCCATTGATGGTGGTACAGGATCTTTCTTAGGGCCAGGGTATATCAGCCCATGTACCATTCGAAAAAGCTCCACAGGACGGCACTGTGAGGAGGCACTGGAAGTGGAGAAGAATTTCTTCTTCGCCATCCTCACTGCCACAGCATAGGCTCGATAATGAGCACGTAAGCATGTTCGGTCAGATTCATCCCGTGATTTCCTCCACCTACACTCTAGACGTCTCCCAACCCGCTTCATCGCCCGTAATTCAGATGTATACCATGGGGATAGACGGGCTCTGCTTGGTAGGAGAGGACACTTAGGGACAATCATGTCAATTGCTCTAGCCATTTCCCCATTCCATAGTTCAATCAGAGCATCAGCAGGAGCACCAGCTTTATCAACTGGAAAATCCCCCAGAGCCTTCAGGGATCCATCCGGATCCATCTGGCTCCGAGGGCAGACCATAACAACAGGGTCCGCACCCTTACAGAGGGAAAGGCCATCTCCGAGCTCAAACCTCACAAGAAAGTGATCTGACTATGACAAGGGAGTCAGACACAAATTCCTCACTCTCAGATCACCCTCTTCCTGCCACGTCAAGAAAACCAGGTCCAGCGTGTGACCACGTTTATGGGTTGGGCCTATTACATGTTGAGACAGCCCCATGGCCATCATGGAGGCCATGAAGTCCTGAGCCACCCCAGTCAGAACAGTCTTAGCATGAAGATTGAAGTCCCTCAGGACCAACATCCTGGGGGTCTTCAACACCAGGTCTGAGACAATCTCCGTCAGCTGAGGCAGGGAGTCTGATGGGCGGAAGGGTGCACGATACACCAGCAGAATCCCCAATCTGTCTCGATCGCCCAGCACCAGGTATAAGCACTCTAGACCTGGTCTCGAGAGAACAGGAAGCCCTGTGAGGGAAATAGAAGCTCAGTAAATTAAAGCAACCCCCTCCCCTCCCCTCCCCTCCGGATGTGACTGGTGCCAGACTAGATACCCAGGCAGACACAGCTGAGAGAGAGCTACATCCCCAGCTCTCCTGCCCAGGTCTCTGAAATGCAAGCCAGGTCGGCCCCCTCGTCCACAATTAAGTCATGGATGAGGGATGTTTTATTATGGAGAACTTCATTTATTTTTTCTTCAAGTTTCTCCACCAGAATGTTCATAGGGCACTTTTTCCCAGTCTGGCTCATAGGTGGATGGAAGCTCTACCTTGAGTTTACAAGAGATGAGCAGGGGTGTGGAGAACAGGGCATTTTGAGGGCATTTATTTGTAAAAGTTGCTGTAAGCCAGGGATGACTTGATGGCACATAACAAAAATGATGAAAAACATTCAGGTTGTGATAAATTTAAACTGCTGCAAGTCTGTTTAGATGTCCCATTGAGTTCAAAGGTACTAGATCTGGCTTTTTCAGTCCGGCTTCAGACCCGGGTACGGTACTGAATCTGCCTTGGTCGCCCTGTACAATGACCTGTGCAGGGAGAAAGACAGGGGAAGTGCGTCCCTGTTGGTTCTCCTGGACCTCTCAGTGGCTTTTGATACCATCGACCATGGTATCCTCCTGGATAGGTTATGTTCACATGACTCCAGTCCTCCATCAGCTTCACTGGCTCCCCATTGAAGTCCGGGCCCAATTCAAGGTGTTGGTTATTACCCATAAAGCCCTTAACGGCTTGGTCCTGGCTACCTAAAGGAGCGCTTACGTCCATACGTGACCTCCCGCTCCTTGAGATCAGCGGGAGAGGCCCTTCTCCGGGAGCCCTCCGTGAAGGACATTAGGACGGTGAGTACCAGGAGGAGGGCTTTCTCTGTGGTGGCACCCAATCTATGGAATGGGCTCCCCAGAGAGGTCCGCCTGGCGCCGTCGTTATTTGTTTTTCGGCGTCAGGCCAAGACCTTTTTATTTAAACGTCATTTTAATTGTTAGCTTTATTTATTGATTTTATATCTTCGGCCAGGATGTCTCCAATTATTTTATATGTTTAATATGTATTTATTTATTGTTGTGAGCCGCCCTGAGGCTTCAGCGAATGGGGCGGCATAGAAGCTTAATAAATAAATAAATAAATCCCATGTAAAAGCATAGAAATTATTACCTTGAAGTTTTATTTGTGAGAATTTGTAGGGGAGTTGATGTGTATATATAGAGTGCGGTATTTCCCTGCCCCTTTTCCAGGTGTGCATCTTAAGGCTAGCAAACCAGAAAGGAGGCCCTTTTCAGGTGGAACAGGAATTCTTAAAAGGACAAGCAGGCACGAACTGAAGTAAGGGAAAGTTAAAACAGTGTCACATAAAAAAGTCTCAAGGGTCCCCTTTTTCTTTTTTTAATGTAATGATTATGAGAGCAGGATGACTCTGGCCCTAACCTGGACGTTACGATAAAAGGAGCAGAGCTGACTTTTAACGTTGTCCTGAGCCCGGGCACAGACATGTCCTCCAACTCTCCCCATCTTAGGGCACCCCCATCCTTCCGCCCTCATTCGGGCCCAGAGGGAAGGTTCTTGGCTGCCAACCCTGCGCCCCCGAGCGAAAAAGGGTCTGGGGTTTGCGAGGAAACCTCCCTGACGCCCTGACTTCGGCCCCGCTCCAGTCCCCACTTCTGGAACAAGCCCTCCTGGCTCCCGTTTCCGTGGATACCGCTCCCGCCCCCTGCCGTGCCGCTCCGTTTCCATGGAAACCATCTCCCTCGGGTATACGGCGCAGGGGCTAGCTGGGCCATTCCGCCGCAGTGCGCACGCGCAGCCCGGCCGAAGCGCTCTCTTCCGCCCCGGGCCTGGCAGCAGTGAAAGGAGCCGGGACCGGGACCATCCCGGGCCCAGGTAAAGGGAGCTGGGTCGGTGGACGGGCAGGGGGAGGACGAGGGGGACAAGCAGGCCGTCCCCTTCCCAGCACCGAGCACCGCGGCCCTTACTGACCGTCGCCTGCGGAGATACCCCCTTTCTGTTATTATGGGCCTAACGCAACGCTAGCTCCACGTCGGCTGCGGGGCGGAGCGCGGCGTAGTCGGGGGAGAGGCGAAGGGGAAGAAAGGGGGAGGAAGTGCGGCTCTCGATTCTTTCCCGCCCCCCCGCTTTCGTGGCTGGCGTTACCCGGGACTGGGGTGGGTGATATCCAGGGAAGTACTGTGGTAAGTAGAGCTTCAAAGCTCAAGTATTTTTGCGGAAAGGGGCCCTGTTGGTTCAGGGGCGGGGTGTGTGGTGTCGGGAGCTTTCTGATGTTTCGGAGGCTTCAGGACTTGCGGCGTGTTTGGGGATTTTAGCGATGTGCGTGGGACGTAGGGATAATGATTATTTTAAATATGGCTGGAATTTTGTTGTCTATGTCTGCAAGCGTCTCTTTAAATTCAGGGTGCCTAATTTTTATTCAGTTACAAGCTCTCTTCCCATCTTCTGCTAATGAGAATAATGAGGGTCCAAACTCACTTAGCTCAGTGTCTGTCTTTGTTCTAGCTTCGGCAACCCACGTAACAAGTCCCTGGGCCAGGGCTGGGCAAGAGGCAACCATGACAAGGTGAGAAAAATTATGGGGTTGTGAAAACAGAATGTATGTCAGTAGCAGGCAGGTTGTAAGTATATCTGACTTCACATGGATTTAGCACTTTAATTCTGTAGTATTGAATCTTTCTATGTGGGGCAACCCTAGGGCTATCTGTGCTTGTAAGAATTTTTCGGTGTTGCTCCCTGCAGTGATGGATCAGAAATGGTCTGGATAGTAATGGTAAATAGATGCTATCGACTGAGCCTCAGTATGGGTTTGGAGGCCTTTTTATATTTTTGTGCTTCCTCATTTCCCATGTAGATACATTTGGTAGCCTTTGACAAGTCCTTTACTTCTTGCTTCTACTTCTTACTTGTACAACAATGTACCTTCAAGTGTGAGCTTGAAATAAATGCAAACTTAAGTGCCTGCTTTGTGAGAAGATGTAATATAAATAACAAACTGTGAAAATAATCCTCATTTGTCTTAATTCCATGTAATCTTGCGATAAGTAAATAACATCTAGATTGTATCTGGACCTTCAGTTCCTTTTGGTAAACTCTAATTATAAAACTTGATCTTTTGCATCTTTTCTTTTGGGGCAAGGATCAATGTTTTGTCTCTTTTCATTGTCCAGCTCCCCTGTCTCCAGAGTTGTTTACAATGGCAAGAGAAACAGCAGCCCCCGCTCCCCAAGCAACAGCAGTGAGATCTTCACGCCTGCACATGAGGAGAATGTGCGCTTCATCTATGAAGGTGCAGTGTTTACATTTGGAGAAGGCTGACTCTAGCAGTTGCTGTTTCCTCATAGAGTCAGTGACATAACTATCCTACCTCATGCTCTGTGGGTTTCTAATGTTTTTCATCTTGTCAATTTCAGTGTTATTTTCTCCTGCCTATGTATTTAAGATGCACTGGTTAGATAGAGAAAAATGGCTAAAAATTAGACTCTTTAAAAACCATGACATTTAGAACAAGTCTATACTTGGAAATAACAGTCAATGTTCTTAGTTCTGTATGTCAGATACTTTTCTGATTTTACATTCAGCATTACAAAGCTCTAAATATTTGGTTGTTGTTCTTTAATTTTATCTTTGAAAACAGTTCCATTAGTAAAGCTGGAACCACTACTAGTCGTGTAGGAGATCTGAGACTACCAATAGTCTTAGCCAAAAGGGGAGGATTCTTACTTATTTTTCATAAGTAAAAACTTATGAAAACTCTCCCCGTCTTATCATTCTGTTTTGGCAGCGTGGCAATGTGTGGAGCGGGATCTCCGCAGCCAGATGGCAGGTGGTGAACGGGGACTTGTGGAAGAGTATGTAGAGAAGATGCCAAACCCCAGTCTGAAGGGTGAGTTTCCTTTTGCCAGTTATGCACTTTCAAAGTGAGGTCTGATTTAGCTAAAGTCATACATATTTTGCTGAAATTCAGCTTTGATTGCTCTAATGCATTATGTATGCAAATGCTTTTGAAGAGCCTTCAGAAATTTGTGGGTCCCTACTGCAGCTGCAAGAATTTTATCTGAAACTCATTGCTGAAAGCATATAACTCCAGTACTGTCCTATGTTTATCAGCTTCAATATTGTTTATTGGGTTGATTCAAAGAGCCATTCAAAGCCATTAACCTTTAAATGGCTTTGGACCAAGGTATCTAAAGGACTGCCTCCTTCAGTATGAATTATTTCTTAAATTTATATCCCACCTTTTTCTTTTAAAGAGCACAAAGCAGCTTACATCAGTCTCTGCCTCCTGCTCTCAATCTATCCCCACAACAGCCCTGAGAAATAGGTTGGACTGAGAGTGTGTCTGACGCAAAGTCACCCAGTTAGCTCAATGGCTGAGTCGGAACTAGAACCCAGGTTGCCTGAGTCCCAGTCCCATGCTCTTAACCACTACACCACACTGAATTGGCCCATGCACTAAAGTAATCATCTAAGACCCAGCTCCATGTATAGCCAACATTGGGAATGAGGTGGATAGCTACACCTCATAAGAAAGGGCCTCATTTTGTCTTAGTCCTTGTAATTTCTTGTCCTAGGTAATCCATTTGTCTTCATCCTTTTTGGTCGTCTGCTGTATAGGATACTTTCCTTCTTCACATCTGGAAATGGGAAAAGCTGTACTGCTCATTTTTTGTATTTGTGCTTCTTTTTATCTTACATAATTGTTTTGTCTTTACTATGCTAAGGTATATTTTATTGGCTTTTTAGTGTTTGCAACACTAGGTGTCTTAGCAAAAAAAAAGGTGGGCTAGAAGCATGTTAAATATGGGGATATAAAACTTTGTACAGTTGAGGTTGTGCTTTGGACTGCAAATGTTGGAGGCTTTCTTGGGATTTTAATATGCAGTTCAGAGCACAATCTTAAGTATGCTTAAACAGGAAAAGTTCTACAACTCCTAAGATTCTCTAGCCCTTATTCTTTCAAAAAATGAAAGAATTCAATATCATCTTCAGTACAGTCAAACCTTGACTTTCATGGGTTTAACTTGTGTGGATTTGCTTATTTGTGAGTTTGCCATCAATAATTAAATGGGATTATTTTGGGAGCTTTGCCTTCTACTGTAAAAATCGTAGATGATGCATGGAGACTAGAAAATGTAAAGAAATCTAGTTCTCTTTCTCTCTGCATCCCTGAGTCGAGGGAGACAATCACTGCCGCAGCCTCCACCTGCTGGCTCCTCTCCCCTCACCCTTGCAGGGGCCAGGAGCCCCTGCTCCCAGTGCAACTTCAACTGGGGCAAACCGCATAATGCCGCTGGGTGGGGAGGTACCACAGTGGCCACCCAAGGTCCATGGTGATGTCAACCACCCATGTGACCCATCTTGAAATACAGACCAAGGAGTCTAACATGTGCATGGGTCAGAGGCTCAATATGTTGAAAAAATGTTGTTCAATTAACTGGTAGGTGTGCATATCAACAATGTAGGCTCTCCTTCACGCACATTCTCTCTCTCTCTCTCTCTCTCTCTCTCTCTCTCTCTCTCTCTCTCT